TTGTTTGTACTGGCTTTCCAAAGGCTTTGGGTTCCTTGGGATCTCGGTCCTCCTTTGCATCCGGATACTCTTCAAGGAAATCTGCCTTGAATGTACCTTTGGTCGCTGTGAGTGTCGGGCAAAGTTCAAGCGGGCGCGAGTCAACAGGCAGTTGCTTGTTGGGGAACTTCTTGAGATAGCCAAAAAGGTAGAAAGCTAACTCCAGATGGCCTTCACGAGGCGCTGAGGAAAAGCAACTGAGCGAAGAGACTGCATATGCAATGTCCATTCGTCCAATGGTCACGGCCCATTGGGCCATGCCAACCAACATCTGATATTGGCGTTTTCCAGCGTCATCAAGGAAATCGGACTTGTCCTCTTCAGGATGGGAAGCTTTCCCGTCGTAGGGGGCAGGAGTGTTGTGGGTGCAGAGCATATGGCCAGGAGGAAGCAAAGCTTGGATCCTTCGGATACACTCTTCCACATAGGTCTTGGTACCAGTAACAAACCAACACTTTGTCTCCTCGTCGAAATTATAATCCATACCAAGGTAGTAGTCAGGCTTTCCAAAGCATTTCAGTTGAAAGGCTCCAGCAAAAGCATTGACCCACCGTTGGGGATCTTTGGCCACAACTTTGAAGTCATCCACGTGAGTGCAGAGATAATCGTATCCCTCAATATCCTCGCGTAGCCTCATCCAGACGTCACGGTCATAGCGACTCAATTGGAAACCAATAGTTCTCATGAACGCTGCAAAAGTTTCTCTGTAGGCCCTTGAACTGGTTTGGAGCCCGTAAAGGGCTTTGTTAATAGTAGTAACGGCGCCTTCGCGCTCTCCAAACTCAGGTCTGGCAACCGAGTGAATTTCTTCCAGGCAGTTGGCGGTAATAAATGCATTACCAACGTCACCATGGACAATTGTCAAACCATAGTGATCGGCAATCATGTCCAGAAGGCGGACACTGACACCCTTCACAACTGTTGACCGGGTCAAGATGCCTCGTGGGTCCACGAGGTGGCCTCCGCAAACCAATCTTCCTTTGCGTCTCCCATCTTGCTTAGCTTCAAAAATCATTCGCAATGGGGCGAATTGAGAATTTGGGCCAGGCTTGTAATCACTCGAGTGAAAATCAAAGCAATTCATTGCAATAAGGGAAGCAATCTCTTTTTCCATTGCTTCACGCCAAAAGTGGTTCCCGTTATCATCATCAAGTGCAAGTGCTTCTTTTACTGTCCGCGGAATCGGAATGCCATACCGAATGGGCAAAGGACGCCGTAGACGGCCTTTTTTCTTGGCTCTTCTGACTTGGCGGGGCTGGGACTTCTTGTGCATCTTGGTCAATTGAATCTGATCACTATCGTCCGCACGAGGACAACGAAAATCGTGGGTATTTAACATAGGTTTTGAATATCCATGGTATCGAACAAAACGACGCATAACACGGCGAGTTTTCTTCAAGAAAGTACGTGCCCATCGTTGATGTGGTCCATTTGAATGGTTACCAGAGGCGGATCCAATCTTCTTGGAGCAAATGTACTTGGCGACATCGTAAGGAAAATCTTCGCGGCAAGCACGATATTTCTCCCACGACGTTTCATCAGTCTTCCATAAGATCTGCAGGAAGAGTACACCATCACGAAACTCATGACCACAAATAGAATCAAAAGATCTTCATCCTCTGCCAATCCAGCAATATTCCGGAGGTGAACGTCGAGCGACTCCGGTGAGACTTGGTGATCATCAAGGGCTTCATCGGCGGAATGAACTGAGTCTTCCTCTCCATCAGGAGAAATTGAGGCAGATTCACCTTGCTCTGTCATGAAGGAATTTGTTGGCTCCTCTTGTGTCACCAGGACAGGTCCATTTTGTGGTAACCGCGGACCTTCAGGCGTAGCATCGACAGTAGCTGTAGAATTGGCTACTAACATTTCTTGATCTTGGGGGTGCAGTTCGGTGGGTAGCTCAACTTCAGCAGTCGGAACGGAAGGAGCTCTTGGTGGGTTCTGGGCAGAGAGCGGCTGAAGCTCCTCTTGATCAGTACGCAGTAGAACTTCGTCGGACGTAGGATCGGTACGAAGTCGTTTTGAAGCCGGGGGTCCATACACTTCTTCAATACCTCGTTCATACTCCTCTACACTGTCCAATGGTTGAGGCTCCTCTTGAATTGTCGGAAGTGGATTGTGCGCCCTGTCGGAAAGAGCAGGCGGGAAATCAGAGTCACTAAGCAGTCAATATGGTGCGCTCATCCCTTTTGTAAATCTCAAGGCTTTTTCCTTGCTTGAACACGATTGGAGCGTCTTCTCGCGGATATCGTGGTCAAATGACAGAGCGGGTAAAAATTTGGCAATGAGCTTTCTCATCATCGGGTTCAGTGACAATAACATATGTAAATGCATCACCAGAGTCGGGACTGAATCCGAGGAAACGCGCTTTCATCATTCTCTGTCGTGGGAACGCTCCGTGAGGAGTATAAAACCAGACAGATTGCCAAAAAGAGAATCGACACTTGCTTATGTCAGGGACTGCGCCAAACTCAGCTTCCCATGACGTTCTATGGTTAAGAACTCTCTTTGACGTTCGTGCTTTCACAAAAGCAACATATTCCAAACAGTAACACCAATATTCAGCAGGGGCTCCAGTCAATAGCAAAATATGTTGAACCACATGTTTTAGTCTGCCTCCTCTCAGTTTGGCAAGGTTCTGCTGAGGGTGCTTGGGTTCAGTGTACTTGGCGTCGACTTGTGCTTTGCGAAGTTTGCGTTTGAAGTGCTTGGACTTGAATTCTTTTGCATTGTCAGACTTCAAAGTATGTGGGGTTCCACAATGTTCAAAGTGGGCATCAAGTGTTTCCGGAGATTCACTCTTGCGCTGCATCAGAACCGGGTGGTCGTAGCCAGATTTCTCACCACAAAATAGGTTGAAGTATTGAAATCCGCGGACCGATTTTACATTTGCCTTGAACGTATCCAAATAGTCTCGATCTCGCCGTCTGCGGTAGCGGAGGCAAGATAGTCTTGACTTCAAGTGGTCTCTCATTATTTCACGACTCTCTGCCTCAACAACAGGTATTAGTTGAGTGGTCGCTTCAAGAGTATGTTTCAAGACATCATCAGGGGGAAAAGCCATGGTCCGTTTCCAATCAATTTCGTCCGTGTTCATTCGGCGAGTTGTAGTCCGGCTAGTCGGCTCATATTCCGCATCGCCAGTGAGAACAATTCTTGGCAAAGATGTAAGTTCGTCATCGGTGATGGCCTCCATTCGATAGTAGCACTTCAATCCATCAAGGAATAATGGGAGTGTGTGCTTTTCTTTTCCCGAACCAAACACACAACATTGTGTTCCAAAGTCCCCGCGAGTCGTCTTTGCGTCAGATGGGCAATCATCCACTGCATTGCCCGCATTACGTACTTGGTCCGGAGGGAGTAAGGATTCATGCTGGTTTGGACTCGTGTCGTGGAGGACTTCGTTGGCGACTGCACACCATTCATTGCCAGTAGCATCAATCAATTTTCCGACGACAGATGCCACCGGTAAAACTGTTCCAGAATGTCTTCCTGCCAAAGCTCCCATGAGCTCGACCAGTCTTCCCGTAGTACTAAGTCTTCTCCAGATGTAGCCGGCCAAAAATTGGTCGGCGCCACTGTCCGTGATCAGGACGGGCTCATTTGGTTCCGGAGGAGAAGTGGTACGGCGGAGCACACGCTTTTTCGTTGGTGTACGTCCGCGTGCTTGTCAGTTGCAAGTGGTGATAGTGTCGTTGAAAGAGACATCTTTACCATTCTTGTTACGTCGAAGGCGGGGGTTCGCACTCATAATTCTGAACTTGTGAGATCTGGAATCAGTGGTGCCGTCCTGAGAATTGTCGTCTTCCTCAGTGTCAATAGCTCCTCGGCGAGCTTTCTTTGTTTTTTGATCAAGGTTGGGATCATAGGACTTATTACGAACCTTCTTCATATCAAATTCCCTCTCGAGGTCGCGTGGACGCTTATTAGTACCATGAGCCGCACGGCGCCATTCTTCCAAACGCCTGAAAGCTCCCCTCCCTAATGCTTGCTTCCATCCATTAGGAAAAAATGGAATGTGCCATTTAGGAGGGTCGGATCCCTTGGTCTTGGTTCGAGATTCGGCCCGGCGGATTATCCCAGGGACAATATCCCCATCATCACGGATTGGGGGGTCGCCACTCAGCATCCTCATCGAATTGGCTCGATTACGGATATGATCCAAGTAGTCATCAATGGTCTTCAAAGGGTTCCGAAGAATAAATTGTCTTGATTCTTCAAAGGCATCAGACTGTAATGCGCGAAGTAAAAATACTCGTAGAATCTCTCGGTTGGTCGCAAGCTGGTTCTTGTTTTCATTCAACCGATTGATAATTTGCTTCCAATTGTTGATAAATTCGTGAACTTGCTTGGTATGATCCAACTTGATCTCATTCAAACTGTCGATTGCATGCACCATGAAATGTGCTTGGTACTCTTCAGTATTAAATGTCTTCATTAGTTTCTTATAGAAATCATTAGCAACTTTGCGGTTGGTGTGTCGGCTGACCTCACCAGACATCCAATTGGCATGACCGCCTTGGAGGCTTTTCGCAATGGCATACCATCCAGCGCTAGACGCTTTGGCAGCACTGTCACTCTTGTTGTGGTATTCTGGGTCAGTCAAAGCTTCAGAAATGCCAGACTGACCGAACGCCAATAGAACAGAATCCCACCAACCCCAAAATTCCTCAGGCTCGCCAGTAAATAGATCGCATACTGGGGCTTTGAACTTGAAGTCAGAACCAGCAGGCGCGACGGAAGTTCCATCGCCAGTCATGGAGCCTAGAACTGCAACTTCCAATTCTTTGGCTCGTGCTTCAAGAACGGTTCGAATTTTTGTGTAGGTAAGGTCCGGAGGGAGACTCGCAGAAGGAGCGGTCGCATAATCAAAGAAATCCTTAAGGCGCTTTGATTGGATGGGTCCAATCGTACCGCCAGGTCTTGGAATGCCAGCAAATCCAATTAATTCGGTTGCATCTTGTCCCTCAAAATCAGAAAGTTTACTCAATTGCATGACAGTAAAAACTCCTTGGAGCTCCGTCGCCATCGCGGCTGTTGCAGGATCTTCGTTCCATACAATACGAGCGATGGTCGACACTTCGCGATCCGTGAATTTGTTGTTGGTCGGAGGAAGTGGAGCTGTTGTTGTGTCGTTCACTGGAATGACAGCATCATGCGGACTCGCGTCGGGACGACCTGCATTCTTGCTCGGAGTGACTACACTATTGTTGTTTTCAGTTGGTGAAGGCATAATATGAGTAAAGTTGGAAGAGCAATAAGCGACACTGTTAATCGTCAACATAAACTCATAGAGTGACTAGATGGTGATGTGATGAGTGAGTTGGGAACGGAATATGGACAGACGATCTAGTAAGTCGTACGACGACTAACTCGATCCTGACAGATTCTGCTCAACAAAAATACTCGTACAATCCTCCACATCAATCGTTTTCTCCACAAGATGAGCAAAACTTGCACAATTCTCCACATGAATTGTTTTCTCTGCAAGTTGAACAAACCACTATCCCTCCAGTGGAATTGTTTCTGGTTGCTATCAACACTACAACCATGAAGGATACAGACGCGTATCCTTCTTCACTCCTCTTTCAAGCTAACCTTTTTAATGTATACTTTTCTACAATTGAATCATTCATATTTTGTTACAGCATTGACCTCTGATCAAAAGGTCCGATGATGAACAGATACAAGGAATGAGTAAAAGTATTGTTCTATCCAGGCCCATGAAGAGAACACAGAACGATTCATGAGCATCTATTCCAAAAGGAGCGACGGTAAAAACAAATGCTAATGTTAACCCTTGTGCGATGACTGTTTCTAAAGCTTTCAAACATTCTCACAAATCGGTCGAGTTTTGAGATCAACTTTTTCCACAGTTTATTTGTATTGGAAAATCTGCGGCAAAACACGGACAGCTTTCTATTCCCAGAAAATTCTTCACACAAAATTGTCTTTGGTCGTAACTTTGTGACATTAGATCTACGTTCAAAATCAATTCAAAAACGATTTGAAAAGATCCTTTCACTGCAATACAAGTCACATTTTCAATGAATCTCTTGTTTTGGATTGTGGCTACTTGGACTTTCTGGATAGCAATATGATATTGCAAGCGGTGAAGCCTTCATCTTTGATGCAAGCGGTACAGCCTTCATCCTTATTCGGAACTGCGATCGGGGCTAAAGTTGCTTCCACTCAACAACACTACAACAACTATTGGCGACCGTTTCAAACTACATTTCTCAAGGGACTTCCACATTTGAAGCAATCGCTGTGCTCACACAGTATAGTCCAACTAAATGAAGGGCCTCTCGAACTTTCATCATTCCAAAAAGATGAAGTAATACAATATATCAGTAATGTTTGCAAGCTCCACAAATTTCTCAAACCTTTGTGACAAACAAGGACTTGTGCACACCGTCGCACTACAACAAATATCAATGCGATTGAAATCAGTTCTTGACGTTGCTTCCTACTACAACGCAATGGTTTGAAGGGAAAATGTGTACTTTTACATTGACTATGCTGAAATTGTTTTGAATTTCTCTGACAAAACATGCAACATTGACTGACCCATGACTGTGACGACCTTTGGAAGTGAAGAACAATGTGGACGCAATCCTCAAAATGGATAGGCCTCCCAACATTGCTGAATTCTGAGCTCTCTTGGGTGCTGTGCCAGAATTGTCCATGTAACCGTTCCATCCTCATCTTTTCCGCCCTTTGACAAACCAGAGTTTTTATTGCGGCAAACGAATATGACAAAACGTTTTGCGACATGTGGATTTGACTACACTTTTGATGCTTCTAACAACGAAGTGGACGCTAAATCCGTCTCCCAATTCAATGAATTTGACACTATACTCGACAACGCATTGCTTTTTCATGCAAAACAAATGTTTACTATTGTACATTGCTTGAAACAGTTTTGCTCAATGATTTACGATTTGCATATTTTCGGCTAAAATCTCACTTTCTGCACGTTAAAAATATACAGCAAATTTCCTCGCGGCAAATCTTCATCAAAAACGTTTTACCTGCATTTAAATATATTCCGGAAATATCAGACTGTTTCTCGCGCATCTTTTCGCGAATGGGGAAACAGCCTGAGGGGAAGAGTTTATTGAAGGGGAAGAGTTTATTGCTTTTGAAAGGTAAAGGTAAAAGTTGATCGCATTGGACAAAGTCAATGCCAAAATGGATCCCAAGGAGGAAGCGTATTTGTTTGAAGAAGAAGTTCTTCTTCCTCTTCCATCTGAAGCGGAATTCGATTGTGCCTTCAGATGCATGTTTGCTTGTTGTTGAAATGGACTGCGGTGCTGACCGTGGATATGGTGAAATTGAAAATGACAAGAAGATGTTTTAATCGTTTTTGAATCATCTTCCATTTGAAGCTATGCCAAATCCAGTCCCGATGGCAAACATCTAAAAACATCAATTCCAACAACATGTTGCACTCATTCATCAATCGCAAAACGCAACAACTTGGGCTCAATATCCAATCACGCAAAGTGACAGACAAAATGTGATCTGTTGTCTTGCAGATTTGAGTAAACCTAATGAATTGAAATGTCTTTGCATGAAACTGTGGTTGCTTCGATGATTGTGAGAAACCATTTGGTACTTGGACATCAAGCTGCTACCACTTGATGAGATAAAGTTGTCAGACAAGTTTACGTCACTACTGCTTTGAAAAGGAAAGTCGAACCTCTCGATTTTGAAGGTTGTCAAGTGAACAAAAACATGAACATCTGCTTGAGACTTGGTCCAGTGGTTTCCAGTGACTTTTGATTTGATTGATTGGATCTCGGAAAACAGAGTCAACAAAAATCTGTATCAACAAGATGCTATGCAAAAAGAGAAGTTGACTACACTGTTGCTGAAGAAGTTTCTAACAGAAAATCAATCCAAGTGAATTGGATCCAAAGATCCAAGGTTCATATCAAATTACTTGTGTGCTTACTAACAAAGTTGTTGAAATCCGCAGAAGTCCTCAAGTCTATGAGAGACTGAATCTACGGCTTCTTGTGCCGTTTTGTCAAGTCTAGCATGCGATGAGTTTGAATTGCACGTTGCGTCAAGAACCACCTCTCACATGAACTGTGGATGTAAGGGCGCCTTTGTGACTACACTTTGATACGAAATGAAATGATAATGATTTGATCATACGACAAGCTTTGATCATAGAGGGGAAGAGTGAAAAGGCCCAAAGAATAGGCCCAAGGTATTGGGACTCTAGAAGCTCCTTCAGTTGAGTACAGAACTAGACCTCAGTCATCAGGTCCACGTAAGCACTCTCAAGTGCCTTTCTATATACATCTATAATTCTCTCTTTAACTCTTCTGAAAAGGTTGGGTTACCGCCGAGAGCGCAATGACCGCTGACCGCTACGAGCCAGTCGAGCTGTGGTCAATTTGACCATGAGCCAATCGAGCCATGGTCAAATTGACCATGAGCCAGTAGAGCCGTGATGCATGGTCAAATTGACCACGAGCCAATCAAGCCATGGTCAATTTGACCATCCAATCATGCTTGGAAAAAATTTGAAGGGCACGTGGTTTTCCAGTCAATATCCAATCATACTTGGACATAATCCTAGGGCCCTTGTGCCTCAAGACAATATGATTGAATGGTCAAATTGACCATCCAATCATATACTTGGACAAAAGAAACAATATGATTGGACGGTCAAAGTGACCATCCAATCAGAATTGGACAATGTGAGACATTATGATTGATTGGGTGGTCAATTTGACCATCCAATCATATACTTTGACAAAGTTAGACATTATGATTGGATGGTCAAATTGACCATCCAATCATAATTTGATTAAGTGAGACATTTTGATTGGATGGTCAATTTGACCATCCAATCATTTACTTGGAAAACTTGAGACAATATGATTGGATGGTCAAAATCATAATCCGACAAAGTTAGACAATTTGATTGGATGGTCAATTTGACCATCCAATCATAAGATCAGAATGCTGCAGAGAATATGATTGGATGGTCAAATTGACCATCCAATCAATCACAACGTCCAAAGGCTCCGCACAACATGATTGGATGGTCAAATTGACCATCCAATCATCTCGTGTGATTGTCGTGGCGACGGAAAAACAAAATATAAACGAAGTATTGACTTCTTCGACTTTTATCAAAACCACAAGACAAAAGATATTAATAAAATACGACCTTATTGTGATCACAAACCGTGCTATTGCGACCTACACCACTATTAGGTATTATCTGTACTAGATCTCTATATACTGTGAATTGCAAAGTTTGGTGAAGAACTCTTGGTAGAACCAATCAGATTGAAGGAAATCCCTCCAAATCACTTGAATTGTTGCAAAGAGTTGAAAAAAGGAACCAAACATTTCTTTTCCCATTGTAGCAATTCAAACCATCACCAAATATTGATAACTGCTGGTACATCAAAAACTTTGGTGAAGGCCCCCCTTGTCTGGGTGACGACATGACAAATGGTAAAGGTTCTCCAAATCTATGCTGAATTTATTACCCACACCAAGTACCTGTGGTTTGATCACTTCTACCCAGAACCCCCCATTCCAACCCCCCAATCATGATATACATACCCATGCACGACAAATATGCGTTAGAATAAAGAAGCTTGGAGAAATTAGGCCCACAGTTTGACCAATACCAGTTTTGAAGCAGAACTTACCATTGTTTTGACCCCACCAATTCGGCCAATGTATGCTGGATCGAGGCGGAATCCATGACTAGGTCACATACTGCTCAAGGCTTAAGGATTGAAAGAAGCGACTGGTGTATTGTTGAGTGGTTGTGCCCCGGTAGTATGGCGGCCATGGGAACCTCCTGCTGAACGATGGC